CCGGTAGCTCCGTGACGCGGCCCGTGCGTTGGAGAGAGAAGCCGAGCAGGTGAAGTCCGGCGTCAGGTTCGCTTCACTGAGCAGGTGTCAGTGAAGCGAAGTCCTTATTGGATCTGTTCAGGAGGAGAAGCAGCTCGTCCATGTTGTTGGGCAGGGAGCCGAGGTTCGCCAGGTGGATGGATGGGAGTGGTGTTTGGAGGCTTACGGATTCTAATGCCCCGCTTGCCCCGTCTGCGTCTTCTCCACGTCCTGTACAGAGCTGCTGCCTCTCCAACTAAAAGCTCAGTAAAACTCTCTGGACTTCAGCAGAGAGCAGGACAAGTGTCCGGAGAGGACTGATGCTGAGCAGCTCCTGTCTGCTGGAGCTTCACGGCTCAGATGAGGGAGCGCGGTGGCGAGGCGGCCGTCCTGCTTTACGAGACCCAGTGTTTGATTTTAAAGTATTCCACATGTTTGTATTATTGTGACCTGCAGCTGCATGTGGATCAGAACATATCACCGGCTGATCTCCTGTCCAGCATGACAGAGTCTGAGTCGATGACGTGAACAGAGAAACTCTCAGGTTTTTATCTTTACTAGTTCCTCAGATGTTGTTGTTGAGAAAACCTGCTGGAAGTGGGTCGATGGGAGCTTTAGAATGAAGTTATCTCTGAAACGGTTTGATGTGTGACGCTAAAGTGACCCAAAGGTCTGTACATGTGTCTGTGCTTTATGGAGGTGAATGTTCATGCTGATCAGAACTCGTCTGTTGGATGAACGTCATGCTGAGTTCACAGCTGGACCTGCTGTTGTTTTCAGGTTTTTACAGTTTGTAACGATAAAAGCTGAACCCTGCAGCTGGATCTGTGTTTCTGCATTAACTCCTGGAAGCTCATAACCCAGAGTTCACCTGCGTGTCTTGTTTCCAGGTCGGAGTACTCGGCAGGCCAACGCCAGCGTCCGAGCAGCGTTTGTTCACGTCATTGGAGATCTGCTGCAGAGCGTCAGCGTGCTCATCAGCGCCATCATCATCTTCTTCAAGGTAACCGCAGTCTGTGGTTGGACGGTAAAGAGGACAGGATGTGGGACTCCATGAAGCCTCTGCAGTCTGCTGTGGGAGGAAATAAACACGAGAAACATCTGAATTAGATTCATCAAAGTGTGTGAAGCTTAAAAACCTGAACAAAGTTTCCAGAAGTCGGTTTCCTGCAGTAGATAAACGTCAGTAGCTGCTCTCATATAAAATGTAAAATACAGAAATAAACTCTCACCAGACTGAAGATTAAATATTCTAATAACATGAATCATGAAGTTATTCCAGAACGAGTCACTGATCTTGGTTTTAATTTGGGTTTCTGCAGCTCATTGATGAGTTTCTGATATTTTCAGTCCGTCAGACTCAGAGTTCCTGTGAGGACTGAGGAGAACAGAGTCTGTCTGTTCGCTTAAACCCTCCTGAGCCTGATATTTCTAACATAAGACGCCATTAATCGTCTCTGTGTTCTTTAATTAGCAGCTCTTTGTCTTTTTATTCTTCTCTGTGAAGACGCTGAAGCTTCTCTGCAGGAAGTGTCCCTCAGATTAAAACAGACCATCACCCAGGATTTAACCGCCAGGTGCTGTGAGATCTACAGCTGGTTCTAGGATCTTACAGCTTTAAACCCTTCAGTAGATCAGACCTGACCCTCGGTGAAGCCTCAGAGCGTCTGAATCACAAAAACCAAAGAGCTGACTCTCAGTAGAAATGTGATGCTGCTGTTGTTTAGAGGATGTTCAGCAATCAGCTGCTGGTGGTTTAATGTCACCGATTATCTGATGAACATGTTGGTTCGTTTACCGATCGCTCTTTAAACAGTTCAAACACAACCTTCACAAAAAAATGAATCATTAAAAACAAAACTTGCTCACAGATGAATCTTTGGGTTTGTTGGTTTTTAAGTGTATTTTTGTAGAACATAACTTTAGCTTTCAGTAAATCAGATTATTCTCTGTAATTATTAATACTGGAGGATCTCAGCCTTATTATTCATGTTAGTTACATTAAGTTCAGTAATTTACATGCACAGTAATAATGACTCAGGTCATAAATACAAACAGCTTGATATCTAATACAGTGGAGGTAAAGTCAGATGTAATATAGAATTTATTGGGTTTTAGACCCTCGTATGTAAATTACTTGGCTAAATCCCACCATAAATTAAACTTTAGGGTCATTAGTTCAATGTTTAAACTTGTCGGGTTACTTTAGTAACACGAACCATCATCTTTAATGCTGAAGGAACGTTAACTGCTGTCTTCAATACACTGTTTAAAAAAACTGTGTGGACTTGTTTGAATTTATTTTCATTATTTGTCTGATTTGCCTTTTGTTTAATTTTATAGCACTTTGTAGTTTTGTTTTCTGAAGATGTTCCACCAATAAAGTTCTAATTATTAACAGAATCACTGGAGTTAGTCATGGCCACAGATGCAGACTTTAACTCTTTCCTGCTTCCTGTTTCTCCTCCAGCCTGAGTATAAGATCGCTGATCCCATCTGCACCTTCCTGTTCTCCATCCTGGTCCTCTGCACCACCGCCACCATCATCAAGGAGATCCTGATTGTCCTGATGGAGGGTGAGACGTTACCATGGCAACAC